CACTATTTCAGCTTTCCTCTGCCAATGGATCATCACACTTTTGCCAGTAGCCTGATGAGTGCATTCTCTAAGTGCACCTGGGACAGTTTTCTAAATCTAAGCCTATGGCTTCTATGACTGTACTCTTATACCAAATCCTACACTGTAGCCAGCCCTGAAAGTTCTTCTGTATGTGTTGTCAAACACTTGTACTTCGGGAACATGATGTTTTTCAATTTACATTTATCATAACATGACTTCTCAGGAATATTTAATTGCTCATATTGATGAATAGAGTGATTTTAGGGAAGGAACAATAAGTTTCTGGGCACTATTTGAAAAGCATAGCTTATTTCTCAAAATGGAAAGTCTTATTCCTAATATGTTTCTAAGATGTTTGCAGCGCAGCTGCTAGCCTGGCAGAGACGGTTGTCGGTACCTGCAAGATCCTCAGGCAGGCTAGCAGAGCCTGCCATGCGACAAGCGGCTACAGTTTCTTACCAGCGGGAGGGCACGCGCTGCGCGGGAAGTGGCGGCGGGTAACAGACACATAGACACAAAAAAAATAGCCATAAGTATTTATTAAGAGAGAGAGAGAAAGGGAGAGAGAGAGAGAGAGAGAGAAGAAGGAGAGAGGCAAAGCCCTGTGTGTACACTGGGAGAGAACAGAAGGAGAGAGATGGCGGCGGAGGTCAGAGGTAAAAAAGGAGTGGGCGTGGCTAGGGCAGGGACTGAAAGAATAACATTTCCACATCTTGCTTTTTATAAAAAAGCAAATTGGACACCCCAGTTTGAAGGAATTGGTATGGCGAATTCTCAAGACTTCTTCCGGCTGATGTGGGCGTTGTCTTTCGTAGAGGGGAACCCAATAGAAGGCTGGGTGCTGGTCGCATCCTGGCATGGCTGGTCTCTTTGCTTTTGACCGGTTTTTATGGCATGGGAATGTCTGGTGTCCCTAAGATATTGGCAGAACAAACAATAAAGTTAAATTAAGGGAAAAAAAATTTTTTTGGACCAGGGAATTGAGGGGGTATCTGACCTGTTTAAGATGGATATTTTAATTTGGCTCCCTGAAACTTGCAAGAACTTCTTGGGTTTGTGAAAACAGAAGTTTTAGTCACATGGAAATCAGTATAGGAGAGAAATTTTGATTTAAAATTTATTTGGTGAGGTAACCTGGCAAGCAAAACCTCGCAGCTATCAAACTGTCAGAGATCTTTGAAAAGGATAAGATTTTACTTGAGTTACTGATTAAAAAATAACAGAGAGCTTACTTGGTTGGCACCCAGAGCTACTCTCTTTTGGGTCCTCCGTGGTCGCTGAAGGTTCCACTTGACCTTTGCTGTTTAGTGCAGGGCCTGCCAGGCTGCAGAAGGCCCTGTGGGCTAAGAAATCTGTAGGAAGACAGGACTACCTTGACCTGAGCAGCTCGGCTGTCAATTCCAGCGATTCTGTCCACGTCTAGAGGTCTTTATTTTAGACAAAAGGCAGGTTTTTCCAATGGTCAGCACTCTGCAGTCAAAGCAAAATGCAGAAGGACGTTGTTCTGCGCGGGTCTGTCATCTGTCTTCTTTGGAGGGAGCAGAGAACTGCTGCTAGGAGCCAACCTGTCTCTTTTTTGTTGTTGTTGTTGTGAAAAGTTTTTAATAATTAAATACTTAAATATCACATTCCCCAGATCTCTGAGCAGTTCAGGGCTGAATTAAATATAGTTGTAGTATACTGGTTCTTAGCAGGTAAGATTTACACTCGTAAAAGGGCAGAAAGAAGAAACTTCTGGCAATGGAAGGTTAATGTCAGAACAGACAATGGTAGCGAAAAACTTAAGGGACTTAAAAGTACATACCAGTTTAAAATATGAGACTCATGTTCTGTAGTCTGAAATGAGATGTAATAAACAATTATTATACATAGAAAGAGTGAACAAGAATTAGGCAACGTGGACGCCTCTGATGGGCCCTATCAAAGGCATACCATTGCTCAAAACGCATGTAACAGAGTTAACATGAGGAGTTCAGTGAAATCCGGGTAAAGAGGCAGGGTAAAACCGGGAGTAAAACCGGGAGAGTGTGGTCACGTGGCCTGGCTCTCAGCCAAGATGGCGAAAAGAGTCACCTGACCCACCTGGCCCTTAGCCAAGATGGTGACCGCCACATGCTGTGGAAAAAAGTTTTTGTTTTGTTGTAGAGCCACCATGACATAACAGAAGCTGCAGCGGGGAGGGGCAAAAGGTTGGAACCGAAAAAAAAAAAACAGCCATTTACAGTTTTTCTCTAAGTTATATTGGGTTGAACAGAGACAGAGAAGTGTAAGGCATTAAAGCATGAGGCCGGAGTGATAGGTCTGGACAGCTTGATACCCATTGCCAAAACCGCGGAAAAACACTCACAAAAAGGCACCCGAGGCCATGAAGGCAAGGTGCAGTTGGAATCGACCACCGTAGGCCCTATAAGCAGGCGTCTGAGCTGCTTATACAGGAGTGGTATGGCCTAACTGAATCAGCCCCCGCCCCCAACGAGAGGCAAATTCCCGGGCAGGGGGGAAACAATTGGCCTGCCCGCACCGTAGCAAGCTGTGCTCACACCCTAGTGAGCTATACCGAGAGAACAGGAAAGAACAGAAAGGCGAACTGGAAGCCCCGGGCTTCCAGGCATGAGTGAAATGAGGGGCTGACTAAACCTAGCTAGCCCTTTGAGGCGGGTATAGCCACGGATGAAAAGCCAGGAGTGAATGCTAGCTAAAGGAACAACCAGGGAAGTTCCTCTTGACCCCAGACAGCACCCGAGATTTCTGGGAGCTCAACAAAAATCTCTGGGCTAAAAGGGGGTGGTTAAGCTAGCCAAAGAGGATTTAAGAGGATTTGTAAAGCTGCGCCCAGGCAGATGCAACACGTGGGTTTTGACCGTGCCCCAGAGGGTGGAGGGCAGAGCTCCAGGCAGCACCAGCCGAACCCCCGGCCCCAGATGGCGATCCAGGGCGGGCGGTCTCTCCAACAGGCTGCCAGGACATCGTAGGTTACTAGTGGCAAGCTGCAGACAAATGGCAGGCATCCAAATGACTCTGGCAAAGGGAGGCAACCAAAGCAGAGTGGGGAGACACTCACCGATTGAAGCAATTAGGGAAGCCGGTGAAGTGGAAAAGAACCCGGTTTGGGAGTCACATGGCACCAATCTTACTCCTAAGATGTTTCTAAGATGTTTGCAGCGCAGCTGCTAGCCTGGCAGAGATGGTTGTCGGTACCTGCAAGATCCCCAGGCAGGCTGGCGGAGCCTGCCATGCGACAAGTGGCTACAGTTTCCCACCAGCGGGAGGGCATGCGCTGCGTGGGCGGTGGCGGCGGGTAACAGACACATAGACACAAAAAATAGTCATAAGTATTTATTAAGGGAGAGAGAGAGAGAAGAAGAAGAAGAAGAAGAAGAAGAAGAAGAAGAAGAAGAAGAAGAAGAAGAAGAAGGAGTAGGAGTAGGAGAGAGGCAAAGCCCCATGAGTACACCGGGAGAGAACAGGAGAGAGAGAGATGGTGGCAGAGGTCAGAGGTAAAATAGGAGTGGGCATGGCTAGGGCAGGGACCGAAAGAATAACAGAAAGTGCTATGGGCCTTCCAATCAAGCTAAGGGAACTCTAGCTTTAAAATGAAGAGGTGCTGAAGATCTTCTCCTGTGTTCCAAGAGAGGCTCCTGGAAAGGGAACCTGGGCTTCTGGTCATTTCAGGAAAGCTAATTTGCACGGTGGCAAAGGCTGTTCCCCATGATATCAGCAGTCTCTTCTCTGCACGATCCATTGTATCCTGGAAAGCTCCTGGAATCCCGTGATGCCACCAGTGATGTTGCAATACCAGCTGCCCTTAGGCCATTCCTTCAGTGCCTGTAGGGTACACAATTAGAGATGTTGTCAAGACTGAGGAGTCTACTTTGGAGAGAGAATGGTGATCATCATCCAGGAAGCAGACAGATGCAGAAGAGTAAAACAAGATCAAATGAATGCTCTGGATAGAAACAGTGAGTCCTGGGCAGATGTTGAGCTTCCTGGAGGAGGTGGGCCCTCCAGTAATGGGGCAGAGGAGCTAGAGATTCTTGAGATGCAAATGGGATCTCTTGTTTATCATAATTCCTAAAATTCAAGGATTCCAGAACATTAGTTTGTCCATTCCCTAATCTAGGAGCTGGCCATGCCAAAACTGTTATGTGGGAGTGTCTAAAGCTTCTACATTTACTGGGGTTTGGGGACAGAAGGAGAACAAACAGCAGGAGGCAGGGAGGCACTAATGTGTCCCCACCTTAGGACATGCCTTACTGCACCTCACACTCAGCAGCTTCCTTTAGGTTCAGTGGCTCTCTGACACTAGTCACATGGAGAGAAAAGTGCTTCTGGCTAAGACATTGTGTCCTCAGAATGTACAGCAGAATTCCTCTGACCACCTCTCCCTGAGAGTGGCCCACTTAGGGTTCTGATCAGCAGTTGAGGGGGGCAGCAAATTCTCTAGGGTAGCCAAACAACTCTCAGAGGCATGGGACTAGGGCAGAGATTGACTCTTCGATGCCAACTTCCGTGTTCTGGACTGTCAGTGGGGTGACTTAGTGAGTCTGCTGATCATGTTCTGCCCCTGCATGACTTTTCATTTCACAACCCTTCCAGGCAGGAATTCTGGGCTCCTCACAGCACCCGAGTGCTTGTGCATGCTGTCATTTTTCTCCTGGTTTCTGAAACCACAGGCAGGATTCAGGGCCCTGGGCCATGTTGCATCCTGTCCTGCTGTGAATAAGCTTGAAGAGGTGGTCTCTGTTTTCACCTGAAACATATGTAGAGAGGCAGAGCAAAAACCCCTGGCTTCTTATGTAGCCACATCTCTACATAGTGATGGGAAAGATTACATTCACAGAGGGAGCAATTCAACTGGGCCAAAAAATTTGGTTTTTCACTTGGTTCCAAACTTGATCTTTCTGTTTGGGCCTCAGGGTGTCTGTCTGTCCTCTATGCCTTGTCCTGTGCAGTTTCACTTGTGTTCTGTCTACCCACAGATGCTGCTATGGAGCCAAAATCCCACCCAATGCTCCTCACCAAGAAGCAGATGAAGCAGGAAGTAGATAGGCTGACCATGGAACTACAGCTGATCAACAGCCAAAGAAATGAGCTGCTAGATCGCCCAACCTTCATCAGTGAAGATACCATGGAGAACAGGTGTTCATTGTTTCTGTCTTGATGGGACCTTCAGCAATGTCACCCTAACCTTTTTCCTTTAAGGTTTTGGGTTCTCAGTACTGGACCTCCAGTGTGACCCATGTCTTAAATTCTTCTCAGGAGAGGCAGACCTGAAGCTTGAGGGGAGGGAGATGGTGACTCTAGCTAGTCTTCTTTCTCTAAATGAAAACCAGAGCCTGTGGTCTGAGTCACACAAGTAAGGGATTGAGATAGTAATGTTTACTTCCCCGATCCCTGAGTGCATTTGGGAAGGACCTGACAGGTGGTGGTTTGTGTCTATTATAGCTGCTGTTAGTTTGTGTGAGTCTTTGAACTTGCCTGAAAGCTGATTGTGTACTGGAAGCTCCTGGTAGCAGCTAGAGAGACCCGTTCCCACTTTGTCCATCTGTGTGCATACCAGAAGTCCTGGGACTCATCACAGTTTCTCTCTAGCTTTGTGCCTCATACTCTTAGACAATAATGCTCCATGAATTTCTTTAGCATGCAAACATGTTTCTCTCTCTCTCTCTCTCTCTCTCTCTCTCTCTCTCTCTCTCTGTCTGTCTGTCTTCCTCTCTCCCCCTCTCTGCTTCCTCTCCCTAATGTGTTTGTGTTTTTATTTGTTGGTTTGTGTGCACACGCACGCACATGCATTTTCAGGTTTGTGTGTCCATAGAGACTCTGGGATCCAGGGGTCTGTATGGGACATGATGATTTGCCTGTACCAATTTCCAGGTGGTGCTAGTGCTGAGATCAGAAAACCCCACTTTAAGCAGCATAGCTCTTGTCCTACATACTCCCCTTCATGACCCCTAGGCATCCCTTGTGGGAGTTTATATCACTATCCTGTGTAATAGTCACAGGGGACCTCGAATTGCTTTTCTGAAGTGGGAGAGATGTCATTGTAATATTTGGTGTGGCGAGACGTGTAGCATAAACCCTGGTAACATGGGGAGCTACACTGGATCTCTAAACATACTCAGTGAACACATGCAACCATGGCATCCTCCATCTCTGAAGCCAGCTGATCTAGTGCCAAGATAACAAGTTTAAAAGCACCAGGAGGTCCCTGTACATAGGATGCAGAATGTGGCATTCACTGAACTGTGGTAGACCAGGATACAACATGAGTTCTCATGATCCTTGAGGCCTCTGATCACAAGGTTCTTTCTTCCTGTTTCTAGGCCTTACCACAAGGCAAATCCTTTCTATGAAAAGCTGAAGTTGGAGCATGCACAGGTCATGTCAGAACTAAGGACCTTGGAAGTTGATTACACTGAGACCTCAGAGAAGTTCAGTGAGCTGACCAAGGAGACAGTTTTCTGTCAGTAAATGCCCATCTTGGCATGGACCCCAAAAGTTGTGAAATGGCCATCTTTGCCTTCATTTTTCTCATGATGGAGCATCCCTAACTCCGGATCTAGCCTTTCTGCTTCTTAGCAAGCAGCCTTAGCATGCATCTCTTGGACTTTTGTCTCTTGGACCTAGTATTCCTACATGTGAAAGAGATTGTTAGCTGGAGGCAGGGGTTCCTGGAGGCAGGGGTGGCAGGAGGATGCTGGCAGGATCTTACTATGCAGAGCATCTCCAGCAGTCTGCACAGCTGGCTCCTAGTGTAGCAGACTCAACTGGAAAAGTTGTACATGCTGAGGCAGGAGAAAAAGAAACTGCTGGATAACTAGGTGACTGGCCTCCTACTGAAGCACCACTTGGAGGACTTGAATGTGATCTGTGAGGACCGAGAGGAAGAGACTAGTGGCCTCAAGACCCAGCAACAAGATGTAGGGGCAGACAAATAAATCAGGGTAAAGTTGGGCACCTTTTGCCCATTTGACTGCCTCTCTACTTATTTAACCACCTGTGGTTTCACCCATCACCTTACTTATCCATGTTCCCATCCAGCCACCCACCTCATGCTACCTGGGGTGTTCATTTCAGTGTTCATGCACAAGTACTTCTGGGACATTAGCCTCTCATGAGAAACTGAATTATTGGCAAGCCATCCCTCAGTCTCTGTTTAGAGTTGCAGTCTAGAGAAGGAGAAGGGTCAATAACATATAATACACCCACATGTCATTATGATAGGTAGCATTCTGTGCACAGAGCTTTGAGTAAGTGAGTTCCTGGTCCTGGGGCTCATTCGCTCAGCAGGGCTCTTGTGAGATCACACGTGGGAAGCAGTTTGCAAGGAGGAGATTCCCATGCACGTGCCATGCTCACTGCCTCAACTCTAGTAACCAGTTGGCCCATGTAGCCACCAAATAACTTGCAGCACACTGCTCACAAACCCTATTCAAGTGCTTGGCCTCTTGAAAGGGCCAGAGATCACGCTGACAACACACACCAGGAAGCCTCCATTTGGAAACCCCACTTTTTTTGCTACTACCAAATAAAGAAAACCTCTTATAAAGGAACCACGGTGCTCTCATTCCCCTCCAACAAACACAGCCCATCCAAAAAAATGCTAGCTACCAAGAAGCCATTCTTGTCTCTTTTCCTTTGTGTCTAGAATTCGTTTTCAAGCTTCTCAGGTTTTACAAGGATGTAATCAGCCCCACAATGGTACAGCAGTCTGTTGTTGGAGGCTGCTTGTTCATTTTCAGACTGCCCAGACTTGAATTAATCACACAGAAACTATATTATTTGCAATACTGTTTGGCCAATAGCTTAAGGGTGTTTTTGGTTAAATCTTAAATTAACCCATTTCTATTACTCTCAGAATCACCATGGTGATGTGGCTTTCTGGCAAGTTTCTGGTATGTCTGTTCTGGGGACATCTAAATATCTTTTCCTTGACTCCACCCACCTCCTTTCTGTATATAGCTCATCAAGCCTGGCTTTGCACTGTTAAGCTATTGACAGAAAACATCTTCTTTATTAACCAATGGCAGTAAAACATATTAAAAGCATACAGAGGGGAATCCCACATTAGATGTCCTCTTCTGCCATTATATTTCTTTCTATTATCTTTCTTTTTTCCTCCTTTCCTACCTCTCTCTCTCTCTCTCTCTCTCTCTCTCTCTCTCTCTCTTTCTCTCTTTGTGTGTATGTGTGTGATTGTGTGTGTGTGTGTGTGTGTGTGTATGTGTGTGTGGTGGTAGTAGTAGTATAAGTATTTAGGTGATCTTGTGTGTCATGCATGTGTGCGATTGGCTAAAGGAGACTACTCTTTTTCTGTTCAGTCTCTAAATTGAATCTGGGTTTCTAACTCTCCTGGGTGCTTTTACTGTTTTGTCTACCTAGCTGCCCAGCAAGCTATTTGGATCTTTTGTATGTGCCTAGAGATGTATGATGGTCTTTGACCCTCCACTAACAACACAGTCTTCCAATGAACTGGAGCTCAAGAGATTGGAGGAAAGTCTTCAGTTGCTGTGGAGGCAGAGGGAAATGCCCATGCAGGAAAAGGACTTGGCAGAAAAGCTACAGCATCACTTTGAATTCTCCCAGCTTAGGTAGGAACCCAGAATTGGGGAGGAAGTAGAGCCCAGAGGGTCCCTTTTACCTGGGATCTCTGTCTTTCATTGTCTTCTGCTCACATGTATGGTTTCCAACTAGAAACGGAAAAATACCTAAGAGAATTGTCCTGGTCCAATCAACAAGAAATTCTGTCCAGAAAACAGTACATTTGATACTCAGTGTGTCTCTGGAATTGAGTCTCCTTTCCTCCCTTCTGAACTCTCTATGTTCTGAGCAGAAGTTTCTTGAAATGGCAGTGATCTGCCTGCTTCAGCTCCCAGGTAATGGGATTGAAATGTGTGTACCACCACACCTGGCTGAAATAACACTTTTATTTAGGAACATCCCTTGTGCAGAAGAGAATTCCACCTTTGAACTTTGTTTTCTGCAATATTACCCATTTCCTGTGTAAACTATTCTCTGAATACAATAGGTTAAGAACTCTCCAGGATGACACAGGCAGATGCCTCAGCTGCAGGTAAGATCAGAACCTTCTCAGAGTATGCTGTTACCTATTCCCAAAGAGAACCAGGACTCAGGTTCCCAGCTATAGCCCCAATGAAATCACAAGTTTCTGCTTGGTCCCAGATCCCTGGCAGGGCCAGGGAACTCAGACACACATCTCAGGAAATTCTGCTCTAGCATGAGAGGCTCTATCCTGCATGTTGTTCATGTTCAATTGTTTCCTGGACATGAGAACTCAGCTAGCCTCATGACCTTGTTCAGCTTCCTACATGGCAAGGCTTTATTATGGCTATCAATAAAATGATGTAGTGATGGAAGAAGGTCATTGGCTAATAAAGTAACTGCCTTGGCCCATTTTATTGGTTAGAACATAGGTAGGTGGAGTAAACAGAACGGAGTGCTGGGAGGAAGAGGAAGTGAGCTCAGACTCCACAGCTCTCCTCTCGGGAGCAGACGCCTCAGAGAGACACCATGCCTCTCTCTCCCGGGTAGACATGATAGCTCTGCTCTCTGAGACACACACGATGAAGCTCCGATCCAGGATGGATGTAGGCTAGAATCTTCCCGGTAAGACCGGTGCTCACAGATTATTAGAGATGGGTTGATCAGAATTAGCCAGTAAGGGCTAGAGCTAAAGGGCCAAGCAGTGTTTAAATGAATACAGTTTGTGTGTTGTTATTTCGGGGCATAAGCTAGCCAGGCAGCCGGGGTGCCGGGGACGCAGCTCCGCCACTCCTATTACTACAATGTAGTTGATCAGTAACTCATTATCAATAACAATTGTATTGCTCATATACTCTTGGACATGGTATTAATATCCTGTTGCTATTTACAAAATGATTTTTCTGAACTTTAGGAGAATGTCCTATTCATTCAAGTAGAAAGACCATTATATAGTGCTGTTTAAAATATGACATGTTTAGGACTGAAAAAATTCTAGACCTAGCTGCTATGTGATCCTTTTCCTTTGAGGATAAACAGCATGTTATGAGTCCAAAGATCAATTTTGATTGTCCAGGCCACATAAGGTGGTGGAAGGTGGTAGGTAGACACTTGAAATGCCATATCTCTTCACCTGT